CAAAAAAAAAAAAAAAAAAAAAAAAAAGTATCAAAAGGGTATATTTGTGGAACACTAGCCAGGTGACAGACAGGCCCTGTGCTGGATGGCAATGAAAGTCTCCTTAGAAACAGGCATCATTTGAAAGCAGGGATCTGAAGACACTTTCTCTGTGATGGCTGCACTTTTCAGCTGGAGCCCCCCAGAACTCCCACAAAAGCAGGACTCACAAGTGTGCAGACACACACTGGGGACAAAGCCACATCAAAGTGGGGAAAAGCTGGTCCTGCTGCAATATGGGTGTATGATGCTCCTAGATTTGCTTTGGTGGGGAAGATACATGTAACGTAAAGTTTACCATTTTAACTGTTTTTGAGTGCATGTAGCTCAGACAAACAATATTGTATTTTAGAGTTTCTTTTGCAATTCTGGGGATCAAACTGAAGGCCTCTTATAAACTGGGCAGGGATATACCACTGATACATCCCCGGTGCCTGTTTTTGCTTTTCCTTCCTTCCTTCCTTCCCTTCCTTCTTTTCCTCTTTCCCTCCTTCCCTTCCTCCTTCCTCTTTCCTCCTTCTTTCCCTGTCTCCCTCCCTTCATTCTTCCATTTTTACAGTCTCAAGCCTGAAGCCAGTTATCTTCCTGGGACACTGAGGACACTTTCTCCTCAGGCCCCAGAGATCTAGAGCAGCTGGGAGTTCTGAGCCCATGGCTCACCCTGAGCTAGGCCCTTAGTCCATTGTGGTCCCAGGCCTGGGTGGAAATGGCTGCAGCCCCTTCTGGTCCCATGGAGGAGAAGCTTCCACAAACCCTAAGGGTGGAAAGGGTGGATACTCCAGGACTCCATCAGACATGTACCTGCCTGTGGTACAGAGGGCTGCCAGTCCCCACACTGGTGTCCCCACTGCTGGTCCAGCATGTTATTTCAGGCTGGTCTTGTGGAAACTGGCAGCATTAGCTTCCAAGGGGATAAATATAGCAGTGTCTTTTTGCTGAGCCATAGCAGCCCTAGGCAGTGTGGTTTTGGGCAGAGGGTTCCACTGGTGGCTTGGGGAGGAATAAGTTCTACCAGAAAGAAAGAAAATCCCTTCCATATGGGTCAGGCTTTTCCACTGTCAAAGCACCTTCAAGCCTTTGGTCACTGTGCTGTGGAGCAATGAAAAGAGGGGTGAGGTAGCTGCCGGGGACAACCTCAGAGGGGTTGATGAAGTGACAGGGGCCTGTCCTCTCCCCCAGACTGGGCTTGCTGCAATGGCAAAGCAACTTTATGTCCTGACTTTTCAGAAGAGGAAATTTCAGGTCAAAGAGTTCAAACAGTTTTCCAAAGACGCATAGCAGTGGAAAGAAAGGCCTAGGTCTGGGCCAGAAAGCCAGTATTCATGCTACCAAGTGAGAAGAGCCAGGACTTAAGTTAAAGCAAATAGACTACATGTGAGGAAAAATAACCCCAGACGCTGAACCCCATCTGGGAAATCCAATAATAAGCCTGGTACCTAAGCCAGAGAGAATCATTTAGACACAGCTAGTTAGTTTGTAGCACATGACATGCATTATAGGTTTGCTTGCAAATAGGGTGAATGACATTTAGTGATATTTAACAGGATAAGAAGATAAAGAGAGAGATTTGGGCTGAGTTTGGATTTGGAGAAGAATGTGTGGTCTTGCAGGGTTTGGGCTATGGAGAAAGGGAGGAGAGGAGAGTGAGAGGAAGCCAGAAAGAACTGCAAGTTCTCAGTGATGGTCACTAGTGAGACTGTCGGCCTCAAGGAGCTTGGGTGCTGTGTTTGGAGAAGAGCAATAAGAAGTTCCCCAGACTGGGGGCCAAGGGGCGCCCTGTGTGTCCCTGCACACCCAGGTCTGTAACTCAGGAGGTCCCAACCCCTGGAAAATAAACCCCTGCCATTCCCTCACTCAGCTGCATGCTGTCAGAGGCCAGGCTGGCCAAGGACAGAAGGACATATACTTGGTATCTGCAGCGAGCCACATGGATGGTGATAAACTACAGGAATCCCCAGTCTTCCAAAACAAAACAAGTGAGAATTAAGAGGTCACCCAACAAGTTCCTTTCACTGAGATGGGATGTGAATAATTTGCAGAATTCAGGAAGACTTTTTTTTCTTTTACTATACATTCTTTTTAAATTTAAGAACATTTTACTACTACGGAGGTCAGCATGGCTAGAGCCAGCTCACAGTATATCTCTAACGGTCCTGTACCTTGCAGATCAAGGACACCTTTAGAAAATGGAAGAAAATGTCCAACCCACACCTACAGAGCACAGACTTCTGCAGAAAGATGCCTGGGACTTTGCAGATTCCTTAAGATCCATCTGTAAATACAGAGTCCAAAATTCTGTGCTCACAGGTGCAACAAGAGGCCAGCTCCACATCCTCGGAGCCAGGAAGCTGCTACACAGAAGGACAGAACCCATTTCCCTCCACAGCATGGGGACCCCACGTCAGGCACTAAGGAGCGCAGCTTCTGTGCTGATGAATGACACTGCTAATAAAGTTTAATATGGAAGAGCTAGGTGCACTTCACCAGAGCTGTAAACTTTGCTGATTCTGTTTAAAACTACAGAGTGCAGCACGTTAAAGTCCAGCAATCAGATACTCAATCAGTACAGAGCTTATGGAGTTGTGCTTCTGAGGAAGCAGGCACCTGGTCATCTTTTACCAGTGACAACAGAAGGTGCAGGACACCCTCACGGTAATGCCTGCACCCATCCTGGGCCTCCAGCAAGAGCCACATGGGATCATCACAGTGCCCCTTCCATCCTTGCATCCTTGCAGGGCAACCCTCCCTGGGAGGGCTCCAGCTTTAGTACATAACTGAGGACACCTTATCCCCATGGTGACCTCTGGGCCCCTCCCACTATCTCCTACTATCTTTTTATATTCTTGCTTCTTAAAGTGTGGTTGGAAGAATGGAGATTTCCTGGGAGACCATTAGAAACTCAGAACCCAGCTCCCACTCCAGACCTCCTGAACCAAGATCTGTGCTTTACAAAGGTCCCAGTGACAGCTGTGCTGCCCAGCGAAGATGGCTTCTTTCTCCCATGGATGCTGATCCATCCAGATGAGTCACATGCATGCCTGGACCTCTGTGAAGTGATGATCACCACCTATGTCAGAGTGCTTGGCAAGATCAGGAATCGCCCCTACAAATGAGTCTGGGTTTGTCAAGGAGTAGGCAGTCCACAGAATTACACCTTGCAAATTGTGAAGTTCTGGGTACCTTTTTCACACCAGCAAGAATCAGGAGGCAGCAGGTGAGGCTTTCTCTTCTTGTCTCTGTGTGCTGACAGGATCATAGTGATGCAGGGAAGAGGTGACTGAAAGGGACCCCAGCCCTCTCCTCCACCAGGACTCAGCCTAGCTGATATATTTCCCCTCCTGGCTTCCTGACCACCATGGCCTAGGCAGAAACTCACTCCCACCAGCTCTTAGAGTGTCTGCTTTCTGCCTGCAAGGAGCAAGGGGCCCCCATTTTCTCTAATTTAAGCATACGAGCAATTATTTTGAAAATGACTCACCTGTTTCTGCTCCCAATAATGCTTTATAGTGAGAACACACTGAAGAAAGTTTGCTACCTTCTAATTAAATAACATGTTCCCTCTTATCTAGCAATGGTATTGTATGATTGTGGTCTGTTTGATAGACAATGAATGAGTAGACATATTTTTAGCCTACAAAGGCAAGAATGTCAACGTCTGTCACCTTAAGTGAGTAGGCACAGTCCATTGCTGCCACTCTGGGCAGTACTTGGTTGAAATGTGTTCGCTTCCATTATGTGATGACCCTAAACTCTGACTGCATTTAAAAGGGTTGATTTGGGCACCTGGGGCCTGAGAAGATATTGTCCCCCACACTGCTACCATTTCCCCATCATCTCCTATGCCCTTGGCACCTGGCGGCCCCACCTATCCATACAGCTGTGTAAACTAGGAAATCACCCTTTCCATCTGTTGGAACACTGCCATGACAAAATAAAACATCTCCGATGGTAGTTACCACATGAATGGCATGCTAACCATATACCTTCCCCTCCCAAAGATGCTGAGAAGTTCTAGAGTGTTCTCCCAGATGGTCTTCCTCAAAGCTAATGATGTGTTCATGGTCTTTCAGATCTGTAGAGGTAAGGAGACACATGTCAGCCGGCAGGGAGGACTTCCACTTTGTCAAGGTGGGTCATTTTTACTTCCAGGAAACCAGTATCCACTTTCATTTGGACCCTTTTCCTTAAATCACAAGCAGCAGGCACAGGATCACGAGTCTTTGGGAGCATTAGTGTAGAAATCATTTTTAACAAGTTAACAGTTTACCCTGAGCATCATTCAGGTGGGTGTCATTTCAACCAGTCAATTCTTGTGATGAATAAATTTGATTGTCATTTTTATATTTCCTGTTATATTATAAAAATTAGCAAAACATATGCAAATTTTGGTCATCGTGTATTTAAATAATGAGACTGGTAAGTGGTTAAAGCTATGGTTCTGAGTCTTAGAAATTTTCACTGTGGAAATGAAGATTGTCTTTAACATGAACATCAACAGCCATCCTTGGGGAAAGGATTCAGTCTCCAGAATCTGGCTGTACTCACTCAGTATCTTATTTATGCCCGCAAGCATTCTAGGAGAAATTAAGTCACCTCTGTACTCACCCAGGTATAAAGAACCCACGGCTCTCAGGGGATAAGAAAACCAAAGTCACACTGTGATATAGAGGGTCACAACCCACACCCTGGCTGTGTTTAAAATAGATAATTTATCACATATATACAGTGTACTACATAGACAAACCATTTCCATATATAATGTGTGTGCAAGACATGGCCACTCAGAGAAACTCACAGACAGAACAGCATGGGGCTAGCACCATGTGCAGAAGAGACAGAGCTCAATGAGTTCCCGGCTCCTGTACACAGGGCAAGGCCCTGCAGCCCCGCAACACCCAACCCCGTTTGAGTTCACAGATGAGGCGGAGGTAGACAAGGCACTTGGCAAAGAGCAGGGCCTTCAAGACACAGTTTCCAGGGTACTGTGTGTGTCCTTTTCTCCTGCCCCAAGGGAACCTGGAGGAAGGCTTCGTTTTCCCATAGCAGGGACGGCAGGTGAGTAGACAGAGCATGGCACACTTAGGCAAGGCCACCTGCTCTACTGTCCATTGGTGGTAAACTCCCTGGTGAGCCCTTTGGAAGGATGTGCTTGGCCTGTGGCCTCTTGACCGTGGTGGGCTGGCAGGTACAGAGTTCTCGGAAACCTCAGATTCTCCCATGGTCCCTCTGAGCTTATGTCACTAGGATTATCTATTTAAAACAATGGATGCCATCGAAGTGGCTGCTGCCATCTGCGGCTTGCTGAGCCCAGGGTGCTCTGATAATGCCATGTGGGTCTATGAAAGCCAATTACTGTGTATCTACCGTCTCATGCTGTGGCTTACAATGGCATTTCCTATAGCTTGTATCAAGGATATCAGCAGTGTGGAAGGTTAAAATTAAGATTTAGAAAAAGATTTTAACAAATTAAAATCCAGGAGAGGGGAAAGAGGTGTGATGGGGTTGGCTCAGCTGACAGCGTTCCCAGGTACAATCAGGCAGACTCCTCAGCCCAGGGCTCTGGCCCAGGGCCACCTGTTCTTGAGGAGGGCAGCCTGACTCTGACATGGAGGCACCAGGATGTGGAGGCACCAGGAGTGCCACTGGACACACAAAGTCTCAACGGAGAGAACCGCAGGAGGGGCTTCCTCCCCAAGGCTTTATAAATAACTGGGCAGCGGGGACACGGGACCTGGGGACTATAGCTTGTTCTCCTCGAAGAGGATCTGAGCATAGACGGTGCTGGGTGGGGCGCCCTGGGAAGCCCGGGGGGGTTTGGTCAGCTCCAGTTCTGCGTAGGTCAAGTTCTCCTCGGCGATCTTTGGCTATGAAAAAGAGAGAGAGAGAGAAAGAAAACCAGGATGGTAGCTGATCACATTCGGCTCCACATCCATTCTTCAAGTATGAATTTTCATAGCATTTGGAGATTTAGAGGGGAAATAGTAGACACACACATTGAAAAGTGCATAAAATCTCATAGTTGTCAAGCTAGGTAGATCTCATTGTTCCACCTGTATCTCTATGCCCTACAGATAGACACTGAGATGTATGTTAAAGTTGACATGAAAATTACTAATCCCTAGGCCTCCAAAAAAACTTTAATTCTGAGAAGTCAAACATAGCAGGTTCTGATCAAAAGGAAATATATAGGTAGAAACCAAAACAAACCATCCTCGGAAATAATAATCAACCTAAAAATCTTTGTAAATGACTTAACCTATATAAAGCTATAATTTCAGAGTATCTTGAAAATAATGATGTAAAAATATTACTTGCCAGACTCTATAAAGAGTGCATGGTTGAAGTAATGCTCAAGAAAAGTCATAGCTTTAAATACTAATGTTAAACAATCTGAATTGGTCAAGCATCCATCTCAAGGTTCTAGAAAAGGACAAAATAAGTGAAAGAAAAACAGAAGGAAAAAAAAAACCCACTAAAAACAAAACTGAAACATGCATCCAAAACAAATAATAGAGTTTGGAAAATAACAATAAAGCAAACTAAAAAGAGAAAAAAGTACAAATGAATAAAACAGGAAATGGGAAAGGAGATAGAATGCAAATGAAGATTGTAAAAGTTTTGTCAGAGAGCTTATTAGAAACGTTTTGAAATACAGAGTAAAATGGTAATGTTCCAGAAAAATATAAATGGTAATGAAATTTGAATGTACTGATCACCATAGAAAAGGAGGGGGTAGGGAAGGGGAAGGGGAAAGGGCAAGGGAGAGGGAGAATAAGAGGAAGGGGAGGAACAAAGGGAGGGGGAGAAAAAGAAAAGAAGGGAGGAAGGCGGAAAGGAAAGAGCGGGGAGGGGAGGGAAGGAAGGGAGGAAGGGAGGAAGAGCTGTCTGCGAGTAGTACCATGCTAGCAGTTTCATAGAATTCCTAAAAGAAATTCCTTTGGGGAACAGATAATTTCAATGTAATTAAGTTGATCCAGACCATAAGAAAAGAAGAGAAAGTTCAGATATTTTAGAACAAGATAATTTATTAATATAAAGTTTAAGTCAAATTTATTCAGGGAAAATGAAGAAATGCATTAAGAGGTAATCATATTCAAGTTGATTTTATTCCAGGAATGCAAACATAGTTCAATATTAGAAAAGTCTATTAGTATAATTCATAAGAGTAAGAGATCAAAAGAGAAAACCATATGATTATAGTTGCCAGAAAGGTATTTAGTAAAAATTTAAATGTATTTTTGCTAAAAACAATTTTTGAATGAAGTAGCCCTAAATGCATATTTTCTTAACATGATTGAGAAATACTGTTAAAATAAAGAATAATTGGTGATCCAAGTCATGATATGAAAAATATATAATTGAACTAATTTTTGAACTGTGGTACTTGCAGGTGAATTGCCATATTTAAAAATTATATGCATATATATGTACATATATCTCAATGGGTTTGGTGCAAAAGTATGGAAATTAATCTATTATTTTTCAATAAATATTTTGGGGTATTTGGTAGCCAATGGAGAAAAATAACATCATATCTGTATATTATTCTTTATAGCCAGGTAAATTTCAAATGAATTAAAAATCTTCATACAGAATATAAACCCATAAAAATATTGGAAGACTATACAGAGAGGTTTTTAAAATTCTTGGGTATGAAAGGTATTTTAAAATATGGCACAAAATCAGGAGCAACAGGAAGATGATATAGATGTTTATGCTCGAGATGGCAAAATATTTTCTAAATAAAGTCAAAGGGCAGCTGAAAAATGGAGAAAGTATTTGCAGCTCATATCAGGTTTTACAGTGCAACAAAGGCTATGGTCAGGATTCCACTAGAAAGCAGAGGACGGCAGTGGGCCCCAGGTGGTCATGGGAAAGGGGACAGCAGAGCCCCTCCCGGATGAGACAAGACGCAGCCTGGCTCAGCCTGAGAGAACCATGATTCGAAGTCACACTCAGCCTTAATCACCTGTCATTCAAGTTGCTAAGTATAAAAAAGTGTAAAGGTTGCCCCAATAACAGGTTCTCTCATGTACCCTTGGAGGGAATGTTTCTTGGAGCACACAAAACACTGGACACAGAAGTGAGCATCAGCAGGAGCTCAGAGCATTTAGATAATGGACTGTGTGGTGCAGTCTTCAGGCAGAATGTGGGAGCTCTGCTCTTACCATCCTTTGGGCAAACACGTGTGTGTGTGTGCACATGCGTGTGAGTAATTATCTCTCCATGCAAGTTACATACCTAGAAAGCCCTGGGGACCTTCAGAAGTTATTTAGCAAATGGAGCCCATTAACTGTGGCTCTTTTAGAGGGGCAGTCATGTTTACGACTCACATGTGTGGGGACATTTGAATATTGAAGTAAGTTTGTGTACTTGAAAAGTGCATTAATTTAAATTCATAATGAAAAAATAAAAGTGGCTGTGCATTTATAATCATAAAATCCTACTCAGTTAAGTAGCTCTGGTCTCTACAAACTAGATATCAAATTTAAGGTTTTTTAGTTTGGCTTTTTGTCTTTACTTTGGTGGTGGTAGTTGTTTTTATTTTCACCTCTTAAAAAAAGGTGTCCATCTACCCTTCTTTGCGTTCATGTTTCAGGCAGGTGCAGTGCCACTGAGGTACATCCCCCGCTCTCTGCGTTAATATTTCAATGGAAGTGTTAAGTGTACCTGAGAGTTAGCTGAGAGAATAATGCAGGTGTATCAATAAGACCAAGTAAGACTAGAGAGCTGGGGGCAAAACCAGGAGCCAGTTTGATTTTCTTGAGGAAATTCAGGATGAGCAAACTGATTACCTTCAAGTTTCTTAGAAAAAAATGCTGAAAGAAAAACAAGTTTTCTTTTGAGGTGCAGCACCCATCACAGGACAGGAGGTACCAGGGAGGGAGGGAGGGAGAAGGGGGGGTACAGAGATGACAGAAAGAGAAATGAGAATAGCTGCTTGCCTTTGACACTGAAAATCTTTACATCACTTCTTAGCCATCCATACCTTACCAGCCTACAAAAAATCCTGTTTACATTCTTTGCCTTTCGGTTTAATTACATTTCACATTATAATGATTCCATTTAGAAATGCCATGTGTCCTCCAATAAGCCCCCAAAACCCACCTCATGTAAATTTTAGAGCCAAGATTTATGAAATCATATTGTCCAGGTGTTTTATTGCATTACCTTGAAATTGCATTGTTTTCTAGTGTAGATTATCTGTTTATTCTTAAGTTATTTCATTACGTTTGGATATGAAAAATAACACTAGCTTTCTCCATACGGGTCACCAGACTGGCGTGGCTGATGGTTGTTTTCATACATTTTTATGATGTTCCTATAGTAAACATAATTTAATAAAGCCAAAGCACACTAAATAAATAATTGCATCTAGAAAAGCAATAAAAACAAATAAAATTAGTACTTTCATAAGTGGAAAAGGTACTTCAATTACTGCTACAAGCAACAACCTACCATAAAATGTGTACAATCATTTCCCTTATGCATATTTCTGGAGTGTAATAATTTGATTGAAGATATGAGGCGGCACATAGGAGGCTTAGGGTGCGAAGTGTACACAGTTTCCAACATGAGATGCATAATGTCAGTCTTTGGTATCTTTAAAGGGCCTACTGTTCTTCTGGCAGACATCTTTGGCTAACACCATCAAATGTGTGCTTAATTACATTTCCTAGTTTGTTTAACTGGAAATAAATTTCTAATGGTCATTGAAGGGGGCATATGTATGCTTCTCACCACTTTTCACCAAACTGCAGTTTTGGCGGAAGGCTGAGAGGCTATTGAGAAGCAGCTTAGAGACAGTCTTTAGCATACCAGGGGAACAAGGTAAGCCCTGTGGTAAACCAGGAGCCAGAAGCAGGACATGATGGCTAAAGCAGGGGGTGTTAGGGACAAAGCTAGGGAGGGACCTGAGCATGGCCCCACCTGGGCTTCAGCCCATGCAAGTTCATTGCCATCTGGACCAGACTAACCCAGCTCAGTATGAAGCTCAGAAATTGCCCCAGCATCCATGGCAATCCCAGAGCTGGAGGGTGGCAGGTAGGACTCTGAATTCAAATCAAGAAGACCTGTCTGACCTGTGAGCTGCTGACACTAAGGAGGGCCCTCTTCACCTCCTTCCTGCCCTCCTGGGTGCTGGATGGATAAAAGTACATTGTCAGCATGGAAATATTAGCCAAGGAACAAAGGGGTGGTATACTAAACTATTATGAATTTATTTATATAAGTACAGTAAAATCTAGCTGGGCTTCGTGGCACATGTCTCTAGTCCCAGCACTCAGGAGGCTGAAGCAGGAGAATCATTTGAGCACAGCAGTCCAGAGCCAGCTTGGCAACATAATGAGATCCCTGTCTCAAAAATAAATAAAATAAAGTAAAATCTAGGAACATTCTAAGCATGAGTCCAAGCTTTGTTCTCAAAGGTGTGCAGTGCTTCCCCCCCACATGTCCAACCACATGTGACCATGAACACATGCCACGAACATTTGTCACACATGTGAGTACACTGAGGCCCACGTGATACTCCTGTCTCTTGCTACATCATCCAATGAATGGTATGAAGGAAGTTTCAAAAATACTTGTTTAAATGACCTGGGGAGATACTGACTTTGTAGGTACGCAGTTCTCTGAGCTTACTACACATGCAGGTTTCTAACCACGACTACAGTCAGGACAAAGAATACTTCCATGGCTCCCCAGTGCTGACCTCTGCCAACCAGGGAGCTGTTGGTGGGTCACGATGGCTTTCTTTCTTAGCTAACATCACAGAAAAGGCACTCCAGGACCTGCCTTCTTCTCTTCACTTAGTGTGCCTTCCTGCCAGGTGCCTGCAGCTTGCTTTGTGTGTAGTTTGTGTCTC